TAGTGCAGTCTAAAGATTGGTGACACTTTGAATTTCATAGCAATTGGTTTTTGCGACAAGCACACCTATTTGTGGTACATTTATTTGTGGCAAAGATCTTATTTTCACTTTACCGAGTGCCTAGTAGGTAATGTGCGGATTACCTAGATACTCTGCACATTATCTAGGTAATTTGAGAAATGGAACAATTTTCACAACTTTAACGGATCACCCTAGTTAATATGCAGATTAGCTAGATAATGTACACATTAACGACTTTCGAGCTTTAGCGGTAACATATAGATTGCTAATTATAACCACTTAGAGATGATAACAAAAAAACAAAGCTTTTAAATATTTAAGAAAGTCCTTTTTTAAGAATATTTAAAAATTTTTATTGTTTGTATTTCTTATGGTTAAAACCAGAAAGAAAACTCTGGAGAACAATCATGAGCCCAGGTTAATGTTTTCTGGGCTTTTCTATACATTTTTTAAATATAACACTTGGTTTATCATGTTTTTTTTCTCCTTTTATGCATTTCAAATTACCTAAATTTTCTAGATTTCATAACTAAAAGTTTATTATACAGATTCCAGTTTCTCCTCATTCCTGGTTCTAACAGTCAGACCTCAGTAATTTCTGTATATATTTGTAAATAAAATGTCCTAAGCGTATTTAATTTCTTAATTAAGAAATGCTGTTTTGTGTGAAGCTATCTGAAAAAGCAGTATGATACCAAGAATTTTGCAGTTTAGATATATAAAAGCAGTAACAAAATTATTTTTCTGTTTTTATAATATTATCAGCATGTTTTATACTGTATATTATCCATCTTTGAGGATATTATTAGTAACTGTAAGTGAGTGTAATAAATTGATATAGTGATACAGTATATCAATTTATTACATCATAATTAATTTGTAAAGTGATTTTATTCATTTGACCTTGTTAATTAGGTCAAATGAATAAAATTAGGGTTTCTCAAACGGGATCCCGGTTATTTTTTTTAACCCGGGAAATACTTCTCATCCCAGAAAATCACGCAAATTTTTTAAAAGTTCACTTTTTTCTTATTTTGTGTTAACGTTGAAAAAAATTTTGCAAATAGAAAGTATAATTAACTCATAAACTGTCAGAATACATTAGTATTTATTAATTTTAAACCTACTTATTAGTTTTTTTAATTTTTCCTCGTTATGGCATGTCACAAATGGTCAATAATCAATACATAGCTTATTTGTGGCAGGACTGAAAATTCTTTACTTGTCAGAACATGTAATATCTGGAATAATGCTGTCTGCGTGCTTATGCTGTCTTAATTTTTAACCACGCCCAGTAGCTTCAATAACTGCATTTTCATACTTGCAGACTTTGTACTAGTTTGTATCCTTGCCAAGTTGTGCAAATTGGGCAAGGATACAAACGAGTACAAAGTCTGCAAGTATGAAGGTTTTCTTCATAAACCTCATTATTAAAGAAAAACGAATTGCCGAATTATTGAGCTATAAACTTGATGCCGCTATTAAAGCAGCCGAGATAGATAAATCAAGAATACTAGAGAGCAAAAGAAGTATTACAATCTTGAAAACAAACTAGAAATCTTCCAGGCTACAGGTGAAAAAATATCCATCTTCTCTTAAATGCATTAAACTCGATTCCACTAACATCAATTGAATCAGAAAGGGCATTCTCAGTAGCAGGACTTTTCATTACTAAAATAAGAATCAGATTGAGTGATTGCAGTATTGACTATGTTTGCTTTTTAAAATCTTATTGTATTTTTTTTTTTTATTTAACCAAACGACCCTATGACCATTGGCCTTTTTCAAGGGGCAAAAAAAAAAAAAAAAACTAAAGATACAGACATATATACAATCAACAAAACTACAAAAAAAAACAGAGAAAAGAGACACAATAATAATAAAACAAAAATACACACAACTAATTGCAGCTCAATATTTTTACAGCCTGTTTAAATTGCTCATAAGTACTCAAATCTTTGTATTCTTCTTTTAAAGCATTCCAGTTATATATAAGTTGATAGATTGGTGCATCTCGTCCAAAACAGTGCTTAACTTTTGGTAGAATCAAATTATTTTTTCATCGATAGTTGTCCCTACATATCCCATTGCCCTACATACCAGTAGGGTCATGTGACCCACCACAATATAAAATTGCACCATTTAAAGCTCTAATTAAGAGAGCACATATGCACTCTTCTACTGAGCGAGCCCTACAGTCAGAGCTAAGGCTTACACATTGAATAGCCTCTGAGCACAGATACAGCAAGCTCATATGCAAATTAATACACGGATACCAAAATCCGGCTCAAGACCTACCACAAAGGGAGGAACAATAAGATATGGATAAGATCATTCCAGTCACTTATAATCCATATATTAGAAGGCTATATGGCAAGATAGCTAAAAAGAACTGCATACATGTCGCCTACAGAAAATATGATTCAATATTTAACATCCTAACCAATGGAAAAGATCAACCAGATAAGGATAAGCTGTCAGGGGTCTACAGCACACCGATTATAGATTGCTGATAAGATAGAAACCTTGTGTATGTGGACTCCACCAAACAATCCTTACAGATTAGACTGAAAGAACACAATGAGGATATTCAGAAGCAAAGAAACACAATGGCTCTGGCAATTTATAGGTCAGATCCAAATATAGTCCCCAAATTTAAGAAAGCCAGAATTATCTGCACCACATGACACATACACCATATCAAGTGGCTAGAGGCAGACAACATATACTTAGCTAACCTTAAGGATAATCAATGCATCAATCATAAAGAAGAGATTACACTATCAATAGCGTGGCAGGGGCTTATGAACAGTAATTTATGATAGCTGTATTGGAATTGACTGCACATGACAAACAAAGACGTAAACGGGAAGCGTGCATTCAAATGTATATATTTTTTAATTTGATGTTTTACGAACTGCATTTCCTTCAGAGATTCAAAAATACCTGAAGAAAAACTGTCCTTGGGGTTCGAAAATGTTAGTAAAGAGCTATTTTTGTTGGTTACAATTTTATAGAAGAAGGAGAATGCACCGGTAACAGGTTAGGAAGCGTTTTTGTTTGCACCAAACAAAAATAAATTTAAAGAAAGTACAGTACACCTTTTTGCCACCTTTTCCTGATTAGTTTGGCTGTGTTTTTTTATGTAGTGCGAGGAGAGCAAAATGATGTCACGAGCCATGTTGGCCATTTAGAAACAGGTTTCGGAGTGTTCACTATAAATCGCTTCTTGAGTGTTGCATAAAAAAAACGTGCCCTTTGTGTTTGCAAATAATCATATTATATATGAATCAATGAAATGCCATGATAATTTAAATCAGTATAAATTTTGAGCTTTTTACAAGCTTTGAGCAGATCACGTTATATCAAATCAGCGTTAAGCGAGGCAGTGTTAAATGGGGTCTTACTGTAATTCATAAATCTCAAACTAGCTACAAGTTTATGTATTGTTTACTATTTGTTCCTCTTCAATAATTCATTGATTTATTTTATGTAAAATACATAAAAATAGGTCTGTTTTGAGAATAAATAAATCTGCACAACATGAATTTGTCAGGAATTGTAAATATATATCAAACTATATATAGGAAATCAAAATGCATAATTTGTTAGAATGAAAATACAGTGGAAATTACTTGCTCAAAAGTTAAGTCATAAATTCAGCTAGCTTAGTACATAACATTTAAAACATGTAAAACAAGCTTTAACACCTACAAAAAATGGTCATTAGGTTATGTTTGATAATACTTTGTATGCATGCATCTGCTGTTGTATTGAAGTGCTAAAAAATGTCCAATTATCTTTAAATCAAATGATTTATTTATAAAACATAAAATAAAATTTGAATTTCATTTATGGATAGTTTATATTTGTTTACCTTGCCGATAGAATTCTCGACACACTTGATAACTCCACCTCTTGCTAATTTCCCATGGTCGACAGGGATTACATAAGTCAGCACACTTTAGGGCTATCTGAATCAAAAACTCTTACCTTAAATCTCAAGAATTTAGAAAATTCCAAAACTAGAAATCTAGAAGTTCAAAATTATACCTGCAGAATGAAGTGCCTATATTCTCTCTCTGCCATGTCAAGGATACCAGTATCTAGATACCTCTGAAATCAAGGAACAGATGGTGGGTTTCAAAGTTTCCTGTAGAAGTAATTATTCACATCATCACTAATCTATTATGTTAATGCTAACTGATACCCAGCCTCCTTTGGCTGCTGTTAATTTTAGCAGTGAGCAAATTAATCTTTTTACATTTTCCAGATCCAAACAGGATCTGACAGCTATTGCACAAGTTATGGCATATTTGGTTGGGTATTAGATTTAGAAAATATTTATATCTAAATCCATTTTCTAGAAAAAAAAACAAAGCTATATTTTAGCTTTTTTCAATCCTCAGTAATGAAATAAATCTAACTTTCATTACAATCTTGTTTTAAGAAAACTGGTTTATTTTAAATAAATGCCATATTTATTCTAATAAACAGCATGCTGCCTATCACTTTTTTCAGCTTGCTTTGGTGCTGTCTATTAGAGAGCACTTGCTATTAGAGACAACTATTATTTCTATTCTATTGGAAATTGGGTGAGATTATTATTTGAGGGATACTCTTTTAAATAACAATCTCACCCAATTCCCTACTAATGGAATAAATCCAGTAACTTTTGTGAGGTCCCAAAAACGGGTTGAAATTAAACATTTATTATTAAAAATTTATTAAAACAAAACTAGAAAAAAAATTGTCCATTGTTAAAAACTGATCAAAGATCGGATTAGTTGTGCTAGTCATATGAAACCGCAATGAGAGAAAAAAAAAAACGCTATTGATGTAAACAGAATGCAATAATTATAAATGATTAATAATGGTAAACAAGCGTCCCCCAGTAGAGATGGATCTTTGACAAGTCGCTCGTATACAAATAATTAAAACATAGAAATTTTGGAAACGGGAAAGATTAATGATAAAAAAGGACATCGCGTCAAATCATTACATTTCAAAAACGCTACAGATTAAACAACAATGGGGGAAATATGAGTGCAGGTTCCAAAGTTCCATCAGCACTTTCCATCAAGAATTAACGGCTGGTGTCAAATAGATTCTGCAAAGCGGAGCTTTCTCGTAACACGAACAGGAATCGTCTTTCACTTAGAGACAGTTAAGGGACCAATCGGGGAGCAGGAAAAAGGGACACGAAGCCAATCAGAATAAACGAATTGGAGAACAACGATTGATATAATCCCCGATCTTCAAGGACAGACTCACTTTCCGTAAACTGTGCAACTGTGCACCGGCACACAGTTAGTCAATGTGAAAAAGCAGTTTTCTGTCCTTTGTGCCCAACTTGTAACCTGTGCCACTACAGACTCAGACCGCTGACACTGACTGACGAATCTCCACACCTGCCACTGCCTTGGAGCCTAGCTTTGAGCAACATTAGAAAACACTCTCAACAATTCGAACATCCAATTGTTTAAAGAACATTTTTGTTTCATAGTGTAAGTTATTTTATGTTTAAAATAAACAGGTTTTTGTGAGATTCTTGTCATCTGTGTCTCCTCCGCCACACCCACACACAAATGACCCTAGATCATCCTGACACAGGATTAATGATTCCCCCTGAAAATCAGCAAACTTACACTTTTTTCGCTTTCTTATTTCAGCAAAACTCAAATATATATTTTACTTCAACATACAGTATGAGTGACAAAACTGAATAACTATACAATTTTTCAGTTTAAAATAAGCCTTATCTTTCTCCAACAGACAGTGCACTTACTTTAGAGGGCTATCTATAACTTTTTTCATTTTGCAGATGCATTGTTTGTTAGAGAATGTTTATTATTAAAAGTTGCTGTTTATTAGAATGAATACAGTACCTTAAAAGATTGTTACTAAAGATTTAATATTAAATTATATTATTTAAGGTTTTTAAAATTAAAACTATATAAATAAAGAGAATCTTAAATACAAATATTCATGCTATTTACATTTAAAAAAAACACATCTCACCAAATTATACAAAACTATAGTTTGCAGCTTAATTTTCATTAATATTACTTTAAATATTTTACCTTGAATCTAGATAAAAATTCCTGTTGTCGTGTAATGTCTGTAGCCAAAATGAGAGATCTGATGTACCATTCTATTTCATCCCTACAAAATTAATTTATAAGAAAAGTTATCATCAGGGAGTGGCATTCATTATATTTTTAGTATTTACAGCTTTTATGAGTTGTTCATTTCAAATTATCTGTAATATTTTATAATTTACTTAGATGTAATTAAAATTTATATAGTCACATAAAAGATACACAATTTATGAGAGAAGAGAATTTTGTATTAACATCAATTTTCAATTAGTGCGATATACAGAATGTTCTCCTCAAATGTCCTTAGTTTTGTGGATTAATTTTGGGAAAAGAAACATGAGTATAATATTAAGGACAATGATAGTAGAAAGTGCATCTAAAGTAGTTAGTTACAGGTGCTCCCTACTTATGAACAGGTTGGATTTCCAAGGTTTTGTTGTAAGTTGAAATGTTTGCAAGTCAAAAACTAACCTAGAAATTACATTTGTACATAGAATAACCACTTATTGTTAGTCTTTTATCTTTCAATGTACTTAATAGAATACATTATGCTCATTTACTCTCTTGCTACTATTAGTAGCAGGTGTTTCAAATGTGGTTTTTCTCACCTAATGCACTTAGTTTTATGATGTTAGTTTAGTTTCCACAGTAATAGAGTGACACCCCTTGCATTTATCTCTACTGCTAGATTTACTATTACATTTCAGACAAATTTTTGAAGTACTAATTGTAAAAGTATATAAAAATTTCATACAATAGTGAAAAATGTCATTACTCCAACATTAATAACTTCAACACCACCTCATTAGCAGCAATGGAATCTTGGAATTTGTGCAAAAACAAAAAATGATGATATGCAATGGGCATAAGCCCATGTTAATTATTTATTATTCATTACTAGCCAAAGATGGATTTCAATACCAACCCACAAGCAGTAAGAGAACTTTAGAATCTGTGAAAAATTTAAATTTTAGATATATTGTCAAACTGTTCATAAGTAGGGGAACTCCCGACTACATTAAATCAGTATATTTACAAATATGCTTCTGACATGACAAGTATCTTAGGATGTAGCATGAACTGCAAGATGACATTAATAGCATGACTCCTAACATGCTGGCTATGTTAGGATGCCCATAAAAAAAAAAAAAAAATTCAAAGAGATGATGTCAGGTGATTGAATGGATCAAGAAATAGGGTTCTAGCAATCTAGACCAGGCAGCAGTGGAGATCCAGATCACCACTATCCAGCATCAGTGGCCCTTTCAAGTGTATGCACATGAAACTTGGCATATTGACCAATACTCGCCAACACATTTTATTTACATATCTGAACAATTGGATTTTATAAGACAGTTTAAAGCAGAACACCCTGTATTATCATTTTTACAGCATGTTAAGCAGATAAATAAAATTACCATATTATATGGCATAAAAGACAGTCTGATTATAGTATGGCCGTCAGCCATGTTAATGTACAGTTTTCTGTATATATTTTATATTTTAGGCTTAGTGTTTTCTTTGTTCTTTGTCTTCACTATTCTAGAACATTCTTTCTTAATCCTTTTCCCCTCGAGTGGGATTACTGATTCTCAGGACGGACATGGTAAGACAAAGGAGGTAATGAAACCCAGGGGGTTCGAAAGAGTGAAAAGACTCATTTTTGGTCGAGATCTCGATGCGAGAGGAAGCATCGTAGAGTTGTGCTCTTGGTTACAGGTGAAGAGATCAGAGGCGAAGAAAGACTTATGAAAAGAGCTAGAGAACCTAATCGGATAGAGTTGAGTCAGCTTTCGTAGTGCTCCTGAATTGTAACATAAAGAGTAAAGTTCAGAGAAGATTTTTCCAAAAGCTAATATTTTCTCATCAAGGAATCCAGAGTGAAGAAATTATAAGGAAACTTCAAAGGAAGGTGGACTGGTACAGTAGAGAAGAACAATACAGATAAGTGCTGGAATCAACTGAATATCAGTTAACGGTGGCTCACCTGAGAGACACGTGACAAAAAATTTCTGAGTGCTTCTTTCTTCCCCTTCTCCTTCTTTTTACCATCTATTCTTTCTCTCCTTCTTAGTTTATATTTAGGTTAAGTCATAGATATAAGTCCTTGCGCTAATATTGTCACATATTGGTCAGCTCAATCATATAAAGCAGGGGTGTCCAACCTTTTCATTTCTCTGGGCCGCATTGGAAGACGTAAAGGAGTTTTGGGCCACAAGTATATATAATATATACTTGTGGCCCAATATACAAGTATATTTAAGGATTAACGTGTCTAGATTATAATAATAAGTATTAAAACTTTATCACAAAAAAGGATGTTTTGAAAAATTACTTCTATAGACACTTTCAATTTTTACTTAGGAATAGATAAATTCATTTATTATAAAAGAGAAAAACGAAAATTTATTTAAAAAACACAAATATTTGTTTTATTTGAGTCTCTAATTAAAAAAAGCAATGAAACACCATTTTAAAGCGCATTTTTATTTGACTAATATAATTATAAATAATATGTAGCCCAAAGAGTAGCCAAAGCGCCAAATAATATTTTTTACGTCAAACAAAAGAAAGTATCCACATTTGGCGCAATGTAGCCAAATCTTGCAACGTTGGAAGGAATAATAAATAAAGCTGGAGTTGTGACTCAAATGCGGGGAAAGGAGAGAAAGGACAAAAGATAAAGAAATGAGGAAAGTTGGAAAATTAAGGATCAATATTTGCATAATAGAAAGACTATTTAACCTTTCTCACTACTTTTTAACTTTTGCCCTTTCTCTCCTTTCCCCGAATTTGAGTCACAACTCCAGCTTTATTTAGTAATCTTTCCTCATTCACAAATCTCCAAATACTGTACTTGAAAATATTTCCTTTCCACTCAAAAACAAAATATGAATAAAGGTTTACTGCTTTGTGAAACTTCTTTTTTGAGTTTATGCCGTTGAAATAAATAAATAATAATAAAAATTAAAACATTTTTCGGTTTTGTTTACACGTTTATTGGGCCGCATTGGAATTTGCCTTCGGCCGCATGCGGCCCGTGGGCTGGACAGCCCTGATATAAAGGAACATTTGATTGTTGTACATGTATATTTACTGCCTGTGAGTTGGGATCATTATTATTTGAACCTATTCGAAGCAAATAAAATTGTTTTGTGTTATAGACATTACTGTAATGAATTTCTTTTATGTATTCCTGTTTGCAGAACCACATATACATTGCTTCTAACATCACAACAGCACAGAATATTCAGGAAAAATATTTAGTGTATTTAAGCTATTTCATGCCTTTGGCACTTGGCCCCAAAAATTTTTCCACTGGTTAAAAAAAATAAATAAAATTTAGAATGCACAATTTTATTTAATAGAGAAAAGGAGGATATTAAAAAAGTCAAAATATTCAACATAAAGACATGTAAAAGCTGCTAAATAACAATACAGTACTTTAATTTAACATTTTTAAGATTTGAGCTACAGATAGAGTTACCTGTAAGCCTACTGAAGATAGTTTCTTATGAGAATTCATTGACCTTTGGGAGATCATAATATAATCATCCAACAATCGCCTAAATATTCAGGCTATAATATGGCTATAATCAAATAATTAATACAAATAAATTTGGTACTAGAGGTAAGCATCAGGTGCCATCTCTTAACTAAATTAATAATTATAATTTTAATAATTTAATAAATAATTTAGAACCTTTTGGAAAAAAATAACTGACCTGGGGCAGGGCTTGAACCCACAGCCTACACTTGCTGTGCAGTGTGCTACCAATTGCACCACCCAGACCCCAAGCCAGCCTTCGCTTCCAGAAGTATCTAAATTTTAGATATAACCTTCCATGGTTACTGGCGCTGGCTGGAGACAATCCTACGTCAACAGCCAATGAACATCTCCTCTGTGGCACTCAGCCATATATCGCTGTCCCCAGCAAAGCATATAAATACATATAATACANGGTCTGAGCTAGTTATTTTCTTCCAGAATGTTCTAAATTATTTATTAAATTATTAAAATTATAATTATTAATTTAGTTAAGAGATGGCACCTAATGCTTACCTCTAGTACCAAATTTATTTGTATTAATTATTTGATCATAGCCACATTATAGCCCGAATATTTAGGCGATCGTTGGATGATTATATTAACTCATCGGGCTTTGAGACAATTATATGGGAAATCACAACTATATATATCAGTAAATAAATAAATGCTTACTGGAATTAATTAAATAAAATAAACAAACACCTTTCTCTATTCCAGTACAACGTTTTTAACGTATTAAATGTTGTGCTGGAATAGAGAGAGGTGTTTATTTATTTTATAATATAAGGTACTGGGCATATTTTAGCCCTTTTTTTTGGATAAATGTTGCTTCTTATATGCCATAAAATATGGTATATAAAAAATTTTAAATAGAACCAATATTATTTGTGTATAAACATTTTTGAACAAAATTGAATTGTAAACTCATATTTCCAGTCAGGCATGCTAAAGAATAAAAAAAAAACAATGAAAAAATTATGAAATTATTGTTATGCTAAAGCATAACATATAATTATTGTTATGCTAAAGCATAACATATAATTTCATACAGTTTTTATAAAAACACACTAGTTAAACTCATCAAAACAGAGAAAAATCCTGAAAAGCAAAGTTTGTATGTAAATTTTTGTTTAAAATTTATTTTTTTGACCAACACTGCATATGTTGGTCAAAAAAATATATGTAGTGCGCATGCATATGTTGGTTATTCCGTTGTATTGGCTGGTTATTGATGTTGTATTTGTTACGTTGTTACCATGTGTTTGTAAGCTGATGAGGGGTCCTTGTATGCATACTTACCTAAATTTGAAATGTGATTATTAAAGACCAACCCTTTTTTATAAAAGTTCTGATCCTTCTTTCTGTCGGCCTTGGTGTGATAAGCCCTGCAAATTGTTATACCCTATTTATTAGGTTATCTAATTCTGTCTAATATACATTACATGTCTTTGGTGGTTTTGGGAAAAACTGTAATGACACTGAAATTGTCTGTAATACATAAATCATTTTTCATGTTTTCAAAAGATGTTCTCGGAGACACTAGAAAAAGGAAAAGCTGTTGATAGAGTTTGTAATTATAAGTTAAAATTGTCAGATAACATGTGTCATCTTATAACCTGTATTCACTTTCAAACATAGATAATCAGCATGAAATCATGGTGATGATTACAAAAATGTGTTATAAATATAGCAAACTGTTTTGTCTTTTATATATTTTTAACAAAGAAAACAGAGTAAAGAATAAATAATCTATTAATTATGTAATGATATAAAAATTCATTTCATCATCATTATCAGGTCTTAAAGCTATTTTTGTACTAACCAAGACTCCTTGTCCATGTGATCGAACACTCTAGACTCTTTCAGGCATGATATGGCAGTTCTCCAATGATGATTTTCAAGGACAGAGAAATTCTAAATAAATTATCCACACAGTCATTAAAATTAATTACGTTAGTATTAATAAAATTAAATTTAACAAATCACCGCACACTGGAGTATATTATACAAAACACTACTCATAAAACTTTTAACCGGTGCGAAGCACAATCTATCAGTCAATACAAATACTTTCAAACCCCTCCTGGTTCCTTCTTCAGGCAAAGAATCATTAGGAACAATTTTTTAAAACTGCAATCCAGCCATTTGGAAAGATTTTTAAAATATGATAAATACGATTGCAGTTTTAAAAAATCGTTCCTAACGATTCTTTGCCTGAAGAAAAATCCAGGAGAGGTCTGAAAGCATTTGTATTGACTGATAGATTGTGCTTTGCACCAGTTAAAAGTTTTATGAGCAGTGTTTTGTAAAATTAAATTTATTAATACACATGCACACATACAAAGAATACAAATATTTACCTACAGTATAATAATTATAGTACTTAGCAAGAATATGTAGCTAACGTAAATTTTTTAAGTATAAAAGTAAAAATATTGATAAAATAATTTTTTAAGTAAGTTATCATATAATATAATCAAAATGCATTGATAATAATAATAATAATAACTCTCCCATGATCACCACCTGGTCGTGGTGGGAGAGCCCAGTAATTTTACTGAACCATAAAGCAATGCAGGCTGGAGCACATGCTCCTGGTAGCGACACCCATGCCAGTAAGGTCTATGGGGAGAAATGAAGCTAAGAGTGACCACACCCACATTCTGTGGAGATAATTATCATGGTAGTAACCAGATCAAAGTGTGATACCGGCTCGAACGTTGCCCGGGTTAACAAGGTCCACATTCGTGGGTTAGGCAAAAACTCACGTTCGAAAAATAGGCCACAGTCTCCCTTGGCTACCGGTGGCGAAAGCAGCGCCGGCCCAAGCATGGCTACTGCAATGCCCTCAACAGATGTGAGGAATCAACCTAGCCTTGGTGTTTCTGTGGCAATGCATCCACAGACCACAAAGGCTGGAAAACCACGCCAACGGATGAAATGGACAACAGAAATGAACGAGTTTATCATCCGCACTTACTACACCATCACAAGACTCGAAACAAACATGACAGCATACAGACAACAACTACACCATAGATTCACACAACAATATCCTCACCTCACTGTCACCGAACAAAGGGTTGTTGATCAAAAACGAACAATTATACACAACAACCTTATCCCACAAACAACACTTGAACTTATCAAACAACAGGTTGCTGATCAAATACATCAACAGACAGAAACATTTAACATTAATGAAGATCACGTAACCTGTCAGGATAATCCAGCAACAAGCACTGATTACAGCACACACACAACAAGTACCACTAATGATACTGCAGGCACTTCCCCATCCATCACTGATAACATAGACATAGAATTAGTTAATACACTCTCACTTATATTTCAGGAAACACTCACTAAATATACAGGTACAGATCCCACACAAAGACCACGAATACCGAAAATCAACACGTCAAAGGTAGTAGGAAAAACACTAAATTATGTAAACACTCACTTACTACCAAACTACATTCATTCAATTTCTACACTCTCAGACATTCATACATTAGTTTATGCTGGGGCAGTCACAGTAGTAACACACCATGGACTGAAAATACACTCACAGACAGACACACACAAAACACAATTCTATCACAAGCCTGCCTGGCAGAGAAGAATAGAAACACAAATAAATGACATTAGACAGCAATTAGGCAGGCTGACACAATACACTAAAAACAACATAACACCCAAATTAAAGAAACAACTCAAAAACATTTTCAAGAAAATTAAAACACACACAAAACATGAACATCACAACACACACATTACAGAATACATCGATACACTAAAACAAAAACTCGCAGCCAAAGCACGTAGACTCAAACGATACAAAACATGTACACTACGAAAACAACAAAATAAATTATTCACAAACAATGAAAAACTTTTCTACAGACAAATCAGTACCAAAACAAACACTGATACACAGCACAGTGGCACACCAACAGAAGAAGAACTCACAACTTATTGGTCTTCTCTTTGGTCCAATGCTGTTACACACAATGCTGATGCAGGCTGGATCGAGGAGGAGAACAGAAACTTGCACAACATACCAACTATGCCCTGTGCTGAAATAAACATACACGACATTCGCTACGCTGTTAACAGAACACACAACTGGAAGACACCTGGTGTAGACAACATTCACAATTTCTGGTACAAAAAGTTTACATCACTGCACCAGGAACTAGCTAAACATCTAACACACATCATCATCAATCCACAAGACATGCCAAAATTTCTTACTCAGGGCATCACCTACATGAAACCTAAAAACAACAAAACCACAGACCCCACACAATACAGACCAATTACATGTCTTCCAACACTCTACAAATTATTGACATCCTGTATCACAAACAAAATATACAAACATGTTGAAGAACACGACATTCTTACAGAACAACAAAAAGGTTGCCGTAGAAATCACAGGGGATGCAAAGAACAGTTACTCATAGATTCAGTCATTCTACGGCAAGCACACAAACAACACAGAAACATACACATGGCATATATAGACTACAGAAAAGCATTCGACAGTGTTCCACACAGTTGGCTGCTACATATTCTACACATGTACAAAATACATCCATCACTCATTGCATTCTTCGAAAACACTATGCAGCACTGGAGAACAACACTACATCTCAGGGTTAGTAACACTTCCATACAAACAAACGAAATATTCATTAGGCGAGGAATTTTTCAAGGAGATTCCTTGAGTCCTCTCTGGTTCTGCCTAGCCCTGAATCCATTATCCAACATGTTAAACAACACGCATTATGGCTACAATATCAGACATGAAAAAACAACACAGTTTACACTGTCACATCTCATGTACATGGATGACATAAAACTTTATGCATCCACACAGAAACAACTTCATCAACTCCTACAAATCACACATTCATACACCAAGGACATACAAATGGAGTTTGGCTTAGACAAATGCAAAAAACTACACATAGAAAAAGGAATCCTGAAGAAAAAAGATTTTGCACTTGGAAATGGGGACATTATTAAATCCATGGAAGAGGGTGAGTTCTACAAGTATTTAGGATTCCAACAAGCCAAACTAACAGAACATACACAAATAAAGCAAAGAGTAACTCTAGCAGACTCAAATAACACACCATTAAACTTACACTCACAACATACAGACATGACACAACACATAAAAAGCATAGACACCATCAAGCAATCGTGGGCTCGAAAGACACTCCATGGCAGGCATCCTTACGACCTGGCCCAGGATTTTGTTGACAAAACTGCGTCAAACAGCTGGTTAGATCGGGGATGCCTCTTTGGGGAGACGAAAGGATTCAAGATTGCCATATACGATCAGGTCATAAATACTAAAAACTACAGAAAATACATATTCAAAGATACAACACTCACAAATGACACATACAGAAAATGTCACATCATGCCAGAAACTATACAACACATTACATCTGGTTGCAAGCTTTTAGCACAGACAGATTATTTACACAGACACAATCAAGTCGCAAATATAATACACCAAGAGCTTGCAAACAAACACAAATTAGTAGACATCCACGAACCATACTACAAGTATATTCCACAGACAGTATTGGAAAATAACACGCACAAAATGTACTACGATAGAGCCATAATCACAGATAAAACAATTTACCACAACAGACCAAACATCAAACTCATTGACAAACACAATAAAATCACATACATTATAGACATATCCATTCCAAACACTCACAATACAGAAAACACATTCACTGAAAAAATTAGAAAGTACACAGAATTTGCCCAGGAAATAAGGCATCTGTGGGGGATGGATAGGGTGCTTATTGTACCTGTCATTCTCTCCTGTACAGGTGTGATACCACACACACTACACAAAAGCCTGGGAACATTAAAATTGAGTAGAAATACATACATCAAACTACAGAAGGCCACTATATTGAATACATGCCACATTGTTAGGAAATCCCTGAATGCAGACACTGACATGCTTATTTAATTTTAGTTTTATTTTGGTTGCTGTGCCTTGACTCTGATCTGGCATAGTACACAGCCACCGGTGTGAACTGAGTATAACTCACAAAACCCAACATAATAATAATAATAATAAATGCAGAGCCCAAATGGTTAGGAGTTGAAAGTTGTAATTTAGTACACAATTACGATACGTCATGACAATGTACACTAGGATGTGATTTTTCGAAATTCCACCTGCGGGGGAAAAGGAGAGGATTAAGGCTTACTCTAAAGAACTCAGCTTATACTGTACTATTTTAGATGTAGATTTTTGCATTTTTATGGAAATCTATAAGTATTATCAAGATGGATTGATAATAGGAATAATTTATATATATATCTATACTGTGTTTCCCCGAAAATAAGACATCCTCTGAAAATAAGACCTAGCAGAGATTTTGCTGAATTGCTAAATATGAGGCCTCCCCCAAAAGTAAGACCTCGCAAAGTTTTTTTTTACTTGTAACAGTCATCAACAGATGGTTGAAAGTGGCCATTGGCTTTTTGAAAGTACAGCCACTGATTAGTCAGCAGACAATCACACCACACGGCATGATTTTCATAAGACTATGGCTTGGGAATCACAGATTTGCATAACGTTACTGCTGGTGATCGCTAATTGGTCAACCAGGAATCAAGCCACATCACATTTGCATAGTGCTATGGTTCAGTAAGCACTAATTGGTCATTGAGCCCAATGTCGACGCTATAAAAAAGGTTAAGTTGAAGCAAGAATGGGAAGTCCACTCCAGCATGGGAACTTTGTAAGTTCAGTTTGACACGACCGGATATACGTCACTCTCGTATAAGTTTGACCTGGAATTTTTTTGTTCAACAATAAATGTGAATTCTTCTTCATGTAAAAATAAGATATCCCCTGAAAA